GAGAGATGGAGCGCTGGCAGGGGAGGCGGAGAAGGGATGGAGAGTGTTTGATTGCCGAGAAAATAAGGGGAAATGTGGAGGAAAATAGGGGACGAGTTCTCGCGCAAAGCATTTTTATCATCGTCATTATCGAACTTGCTCCGGCAACTAACCGTATAACGCTGCACAACGTCAGCGTCGGGCTCCAGTTCAAGCAAATGCATCATAAGTATCTTTCACGATCATTATTTTCAACTCAAAATGTTAAAGAAAACATTTCTTTCAAAACTATATATGGACCGATCTTTTAGAAGAGTCCAACAGGAATCAATGGTTCGATGATGGCTCTATAAATAGGCAACGCATTGGTTGCTACAAAGATGATCTCCATGAAGACCACATTAACTCTTTTGTAATCGGTTCAACTCTATCATATATCTATTGTGGAGATGAACGAATATTCGGATTTGTTGAAAAAGATATTTTTTGGAGAATTTCCGGTCTAAAGATAGTAGAAGAATGATTTAGAGAGTGGTTCGGGAGAATAATGACCGAAGGGCTTAAGTAGAATAATTTCCAACGGACATCCGTTAGAAGTCCGTTGGAAACATTCGACCATTACCCATTCCAACGAATATCCGTTGGAATTCTCCGACTGTTATCTTTTTGAATGGATCTCCCTTGGAATAATCCAACTGTTATCAAACGTTCGAATTTTTCAAACTGTTATCCGTTGGAAGATTTTAATTCAAAACTCCAACGGTTATCCCTTGGAAAATAAACAAATATGTAACGAATATCCGTTGGAATTTTTGCCCGTAAATTCCAATGGATATCCGTCGGAAACTACGTAGAAAATTTCCAACGTTACGTATCCGTTGATATGATGTTAAAAATTCCAACAGATTTCTAGCGACAATATCCGTTTAAGGTCCGCTGGAATTACGTTGGAAATCCATTGGAAATATACCAACGGATATCCGTTAGAAATCCATTGAAATTAATCCAACGAACACATCCGTTGGAAAAATCTGTTGAAAAATCATAGTTTTTGTAGTGATTTATATAATTATCGATTTTGAGGTGGTCAGGGCTAATCAACAATTTAGACTAACCGATTTCAATTTGTAATTACGATTTACAGAACGAACACATATTTTAGATGCTTGCGACACATCTATCTAGATGTCTAAATAGTTTTTTAGGTTTTGAGATTATAGTGAGTTAATTGCTTTGGCTAACAAAAATGTCGAGTTTCTAGGTGAAACAATACATTTCTTTACTCATGTTTTCACCCTCAATATTATTCTCGATATTTATATTTAATTTTTTACCCACTTATATTCAATGATACTAAGATTTTAGTATTCTATGTTCTAAATGAAGACGTTATTGGTCGAATTCGAAGCAACAAAGATATGCAGGAGGAAAAAGTTGTTGTTGATCTCCAAATGGTAAGGTATTAATAGGTCAAATAAAATATAGAATACCCGAATGAGAAATAATTTAATTAATATATATATGTATATCTAAATAGTGGCATATCTACGTTGAAGTATACGGGGACACTTGCTCCATTCAATCTATAAGAAAAAAATATTTCTATATAAATTATATAAAATTATAATAAAAATTATAAAAATGTCCACATAAAATTAAAGATGTCCACATCTAGCAAAACATTAGCCGAGCGCATATAGCAAATATATATATATATATATATTCTTTTACACAATAAATAATGATAATTTTAAAAATTCTTTAATATAATAAATAATAATGCTTTCATAATATTCTAATATTAACGATTATTTTTTGTATTAAAAAATAATTTATATTATTTCTTAATATTTATATCATCAAATTTTATACAAAAAATAATAAACCGCGCATCGCGCGGGTCTACCCTAGTACACTCTAATAAGGTAAAAACACACGCTCTAATAATAGTTTTTTTCCTCTGGTTATGAGTTAATGCTACAAATTTCTCTTGTAGTCATTTAGTGAGCGAGTGAGTTAAATTATATATACACTTATTTGTATGGCCACGTGGCTTCGTATATTTTTGTGAACCATTAATAAACTGGTCTTCCTAATCTCTAGCTCTCTCTGTCTATATATATATAATATATAGAGAGAGATTTTTAATGTCTATTGTAAAATTTATCGACACACTCCTATCTAGATTGAGCGTTAATTAGAAAAAAATAATAATCAGTGGTGTTAATTAAAGAGATCACACAGTACAACATTGATAACAAATAACGGATAAAAGCATCTTAATATGATAAAACTAGTTATTATTAATAATCGTCGTTACTTTAATTAATTAATTACATTATTATAAAAAATAATAATTATGTGTCAGTTTGAGATATAGATATAAAATTTATCCCCATGTTTTCTCCGAAACATTTTATCAATGCAGAATGATTAGATACCATTTATATATAAATCATTGTTTAGCAATTCGAAATTTTATTTAGCTGTGTAAAAAAAAATAAAACATTAATTATGAGAGGAAGTGGGCGGACGATTTGGGCCTCTAAAAAAATATATCACATAGGATTCTAAGAGGCCTGATAGGATCCAAACAAGCCCAATAAAGGGCTGCCATCAGGTGTGCCTGGGAGCACCGTAAAAGTTAGTCAAAAAAGCCTAATCCATGGTTCTGACTTTTCCACGTGGCAGCCAGGTTTTACAATCTTAGTAGTTCAACCCGTTGAAGTTCTTCAAAGCCATCGACGGTCACGATTTGAAAAAGGTTAGGCATCGTGCCACCAGAGGGATCCCAGGAAATCTGTATATGCTTTTTAGTTTTTATTTGATTCAAAATATTAATTTCGTTTCATATAATCCAATGCTTGCGATAGATAATAATCTGTGACCATTACGTATAAATACCAACAAAATTAAATTTCGTGAACCTATTTGTCGTATTATATGTGTATTGTATATATATAATGAAAGTTTAGAATGTATGATGATGATGGCAAATTATATTGCAAATTAATGATGACATCACAATGATTACGTCTTAGTATGTGATCTTAACGTGACTTTATTTTTCCGTGTTGGAGTGGGAAACAAGTTTTGATTACCATGCAAAAGTGGAACTTCTTTTTTTTTTTTAAAGGGAACTATTATAATTTTGATGCAACGATATTTGACATGAATTTTATTTTGAAATATAAAATTTCTACATCATAGATTGTTTTAAGTTTTTAGAACTAGGAAATATATATAGAAACTTAGGACAAAGAATACTTATTTGCCTGATCGCCAAAGGCATTGAACATTGAAATGTGACCCATTAAATGTTCCTTTGTTTAACTCGATAACGTGAAATTTGATTCTTTTTTTGTTTTTTGTTTTATAAAATCTATCATATAACTGTAGGCGTTTATGATATATATATATATATATACACATATCTCGTGAACCTATTTGAATATGTATATATATATAAATTCAAAATCTAGTTTAGAGTTGTGGGAACTCAAAGCATTGAACATGGGAAAACTCCAAAGACATAAAAAATCGTTTCCATACCTAAACCTATTATCGATCAAACCCAATATCCGTATATATTGTCCTAGCCAAGTCAGAACAGGACAAGACAAATGTCATTAAAATTGTCCGCATTAAAGAATCCATATATAGTCGGTCAAATTTAAATTTCGTTGGTTCAAACGTCTTTTCTTTTTTTATTTTATTTTTTCTATTTGCAAGAAAAATATTATGCTTTCCGTTTTAAAAAAACGAATACCGGATTTACTTTCAATATGTCGCTTTCCCCCTATGGAGTGAAAGCACATACAATAGTTAATGATTTCAAAAAGGTACGAACATTCTTTATCATCTAAAAAATGGGAAGGGAGAATGCTGCATGAACCATTTGGTATCCTTTGATCAATGGCGATTCATGCAACACTCCGACTAGGTAAATAAATTATATAAATTATAAAGCTTCAATCATATAAAGTAATCTATGTATCATTATACGTATGTACGACGGTGTGCTAAATAATCACTTCATATTTTCATTAGGTAGGGGTGGACGTTTCGGGTTTGGGTTCGGTATTCAAGCATTTCGGTTCGGAAACGGTATTTTTGGTTTTATAAAAAATGTATCAAACTAGAACCGAATGTTAAACGGTTCGGAACGATACCATTATATGAATACCAAATAAGTACCGAATTATAATATTTACACATATATTAGTGGAATTCGAATTCTGGTTCGGTATATATACGGCTCAGTTCGGTTCGGGAACGGTTCATTCATTCAGTTTCATAAAAAATGTACCAAATTAGAACCGAAAGTTGTTCGTTCGGTTCGATCCGGTTTCAGATTAGATCGGGTCGGAATTAAATTCCCGAACCGAAGTGTCCACCTCTAATTTTAGGTGAAAATTTACAATCTACATGAAATAGCTCATGAAAATGTGGAATGAATTCCTAAGTATGGTTTATTACAAATCAAATATAACGTTGGATATATCGGATCTTAAAGAATATTATTAAATATAACATATCACGTAGATATCTTTAAAAAAAAATTATAAGTATTTGATGTATTATTATGCAAATATTGACATACAATATTAACGAATTTGTGATCCGTCTATCTAAAATATGAAGGGGAAAATGTTCAACACGGTTGTGATTGTTTTACAATTCTCCATTAAAATTGTCAGCAAACAAATAAAGATAAGACTGAACAACTAAAGTTTTCAAATGGCGGGGCATGTGCGTCGTGCATGTTTCACTGATTAGAATTTAAAACCGACCTGTCCGGAAGAAGAGACGCAGAAATATATGGAGAGAAGTGGAAACGGTCCACGAACATAAATTATATTATGACCAAACCTTCAATATTCTCAAACTCCAGTCAAACACCATAGGGTCAAAATCGTGATAAAATTCAAACGCAAGGGCAGCTTAAATCCCTGCCCGCCTATAAATACCCCTCCCGCCCTCCACTCTTCATCTGCGTCGTGTCGTTGTATTTCTTATTCTCCGATACACTCTCTCTCTCTCTCTATATATATATATCTATGCAGACACTTACGCCCAACATCACCGACGCGTTCAACGTAAAGCGCTGCCGTTTCACGTGCAAGGTCTCAACGTTAAACCCTACAAAACCGCCATCGGTTTTGCCGGGGAAGAAGAAGACGAACTGGGAACACCTTAGAAACCTTGAAAAGGTTCTCAGAACCTCTAAGAACCACAACGACGTCAATGGATTGTTGTCGCCGTCTCGAAGAGACAAGAAGAGACGGACCTTGCTCGGAGGTCTGAACCTTGCCCGAATCTGGCCGGAGATGAAGGCGGCGGTGGAGGAAATGTCGCCGAAGAATCTGCAGCGGCTCCAACGGCTCTTGTCGAAGTCGCCGGAATATTCCCCGAAGAACAGTCTCGGGTCTCGGTGGAGGGAGCTGCACGGATCCAACAACTGGGTCGGGTTGCTGGACCCGCTCGACGAGAATCTCCGGCGAGAGCTCGTCAGCTACGGCGAGTTTGTACAGGCGGCGTACCATGCCTTCCACTCCGACCCAGAAGGAGCTTCCCCAGGACACGTGGCGCTTCCCGACGGATCCTACAAGGTGACGAAGAGCCTCTACGCCACGTCATCGGTCAGGTTGCCGAAGTGGATCGATGACATGGCACCAGATCTCAGGTGGATGACTCAGCAGACTAGCTGCGTTGGTTACGTGGCGGTGTGCGATGACCCGAGGGAGATCCGACGGATGGGGAGGAGGGATATAGTCATCGCGTTACGTGGGACCGCCACGTTGCTAGAATGGGCCGAAGATTTTCGGCCCAATCTCGTTCCGGTTCCCCACCCTGAGCCCCAGCCCAGGCCCGAAATCTTTGACCAGAATCCGCCCAAGGTGGAATGCGGGTTCCTCAGTCTGTACAGGACACGTGGCTCTCACGTGCCGAGCCTCGCGGAGGCGCTGGTGGGAGAAGTGAACCGCCTCGTGGAGCTCTACAGAGGGGAGGAGCTCAGCATCAGCATCACCGGCCACAGTCTCGGGGCCGCTCTCTCTCTCCTTGCCGCCGAAGACATCGCGGCGAGTGTAACTCACGCGCCGCCGGTTGCAGTCTTTTCTTTCGGCGGCCCGCGCGTGGGGAACCAGGAGTTCGCCCGCCAGATGGAGTCGAGGGGAGTGAAGGTACTTCGCGTTGTGAATAACCAGGACGTGGTGACCAAAGTCCCCGGAATATTCCCGGAAGTGCATGGGCAAGATGGTAATAATAACGGGAGAATCCAGGGGGCATTGATGGAGATGGTGAAGAGGAACAACCCCTGGGATTACTCGCACGTGGGGGCAGAGCTTCGTGTGGACACGAGAATGTCGCCGTACCTGAAGCCGAATGCTGACGTGGCGTGTTGTCATGACCTGGAGGCGTACTTGCACCTCGTGGACGGGTTCCTGGCGTCGAACTGTCCGTTTCGGGCAAACGCGAAACGGAGTTTAAGGAAGCTGTTGGACGAACAGAAGTCTAACGTTAAGGTTTTGTACACGGGGAAAGCCATGGGGCTCAACCGTTTTGTTCTCGACAGCAATAACGGAGACAATGCGCTTTTTAGCCCGTCTTCTTCATGACCACGTTTTTTATTCCCCATTTTTTTCATTATTAAAATGTTACTCATTCTATTTTTTTTTTCGGATGTCTATATCAATGTGCAGTGTCATTGATGTGTATCCATGCATATTTTATGAATCAGATATCAATCTTTGTTTTTACATTTAATGGCAGCAGTTTCATACTACATACTATTTATTCATATTATGTGGACCGCTTAGAATTCCAAGTAAAATCTTTTATATTTTACAAAGAAAATCATAAGTTAAATAAAAAATATCAAACTCGCAAAGATATTGTAGATCTAAAAAATTTTCTTCTTGCCTCTATTCAAAGATTCACTGATTAAGCAGAGTTTTTGCCATGTGCATCTGGAATTTGTTATCGAAAATGTTAAATAAAATTGGGCCTTAATGGCCCATAATAGAATACAACAATTGACCCATATCGAAGATGCTCTTGACAAAGAGGAGAAGATTAAGAAGGTAGGAGTTTCTTATAATATGGGTGTGGGCTAGAGTTGTGCTAAGTTGAATGATACTCTTCCCATTCTCTGGATGCTGGACGTTAGCATCAATGAATTCCCGAAAGCCAGCCGATGGGGAGACACTACAAAAAAACCTGCATATAGCGACGGAATTTGCGACGGAAATTTCCGTCGCACCGAAAATTGCGACGGAATGTGACGATTTTACGACAAAATGTGGAAAAAAATTATCCGTCGCAAACAGTCACAAAATCCGTCGCAATTTGCTACGATTTGCGACAGATAATTCTGTCACAACAAAGAAATAGATGATTTGCGACGGAAAATAAAAATTGCGACGGATTGCGACGGAATT